TATATATATATATATATATATATATATATCCTAAATACAAAGAAAAATTTATTCTCAAAAAAAAAAAAAAATTAGCAATGAAATAAAATAAAATGACATAAAATATTTGGTCCCTACATTGCAGAGATTGTTGGTGCAGCGTAACTTAAAAATGCAGTCTCTTTATAATATTATAGTATCTGCTCCTCGTGGTCTTGGGGCTGCAGACTGTCAAATCAAACACACACACACGTGATTTAATGCTCACACACACTCGAACCACAGACAGTCCCGCATCACGTGCTTCACCCAGCACTCAGAGTTTATAAATAAACACAACAGGAGCTGTGCTTGTTTCTGCTTGTTCTTTATGGGACATCTCGCAGAAGTCCCATAAAGAACAAGTCAAAGGGACCGCTCCTCCCAAACTTTGCGCACGGGTGCAGCTTTCCTTACCGAATCTACTATGGAGAAGTTCGGGTATAGAATATTAACTAGAACGCGCAGACCTGACCAATGGATGAGGACGCCTGTTAAATATGAATGATCTCCGAGGACGCAGAGAACTGTCCGTTACATGAATATTCAATAGATTACGCTGTTTACCTCATGAATAATAAAGATTCGACTTCTGCAGCTACTTACTCTCCAGTTGTTCCAAACTTGAGTTTCGTTTTTCTACTTAACACAAAGGAGGGTATACTAAAACATGTTGAGGATAAATCAGTCCGTGGCTTCCATCTTATTTTTGGTGTCAGCGGATGCTTTTTCCCACTATTCTTCAGATCTTGTTTGTGTTCAACAACAAAAGAAAATCATGCGTTTAGAATCATTTAAGTGTTAGTAAATTATGAGGAAATTTAATATTTTGGGGTGCCTTTAATAACGTAAACGCATTTACTAATCTACCAAGGTGAAGGCTGAGCATATTAATTAGACCGTGCTGACGTGGCCAATGGATGAGGACGCCTTTTTAATATTAATTATTTCCTAGACCGCACAGATCGGATTAGCCTCATGAATATTAAATACGTCGTCGATAGATGACGTCGTTGGCTTTAGTTTACCTCATTAATATTAACATATAAGTTATATATAATACAGTTCACCCAAAAAAATAAAAAAAACGTTCACTCATCTTGTTTCAAACCTGTATTGAACACAAAGGAAGAAATACTTAGGAATGTTGCCATTGACTTCCATAGTATTTTGTTAGTATTTAACGTTGTCAATGACTTCCAGTATTACTTCTTCTTCCACCAACATTCTTCAGAATATCTTAATCTGTGTTCAACAAAAGAAAGAAATCCACACGTTTAGAGCGATTTGAGTAAAAGTAAATGATGATGAGGTTTAAATTTTAGAGTGAACTGTCCCTTTAATAGCGCAGCCTTCGCCATAGTAGCAACGGTGAATTCGCTTCCCGGTCGCCGCCGCCGCCGTGATTGAAGAGAAAAGGTGAAAAACCCAGACGAGTCAACTTCAACCACTCTTTTTAACGTCAGCATTTCAGTATTTCCCCGTTTGAGACATGTAAGGGAGACTGTAATGTCCACAGAGCAGGAGAAAGAGTCATTCTCTCTCAAACGAAACCGAGGTAACGTTTATTTTCCGTGTTTTTAGAGGGTTATTTCGGTGTTGGTCGTAATGACCGGAGCGACGGTAACAGTTTGGCGGCCTCCAGGCCTTTGGGGAAGAACTGAAAAGTAGACACACTTCAGTGTTTCCAAGATTTAAGAAAACAAACGTGTCAGGCCTCAAAGTGAAAGCTGTCAGATGGAGACACTTCAGAGAGAGTTTCAGGAAGTTTGGAGAAGTCATAGCAAAGTTTACTTCCTAAATATACACCAACAAAACATGCGAGAGTAAATCTGACAGTGACATGTTCACTATTAAATCCCCCTCCAAAAAAGTGAATTTGGGCTACTATAATTCTTAAAAGAGTTGTCCATATTTGACCCAACGTTGAGTTACAACAACCCATAATTATGAGTGTATTAACATTTGCATGGATATTCATTTTTGTGTATTTTAAGAAAAAAAAAAATCTAATTTTAAATCTAATATTCAAAATTTACATAAACAAAACATGCGAGAGTAAATCTGACAGTGAAATGTTCACTATTAAATCCTAAAACACAGAATACAAGGAGGACACAGTGGGAAAGACAGTAAATAAAAAAATAAGATATGAATGTGTACCTTTATTTAAATGATATTTTTATACATATTTTTAGCAAATGTTTTATTCATTTTGATGTTTTTGGACCATCATTTTTTTCCAGGTTGTCCATATTTGACCCAGCGTTGAGTTACAACAACCCAGGATTATGAGTGTTTATTTATAAAAAATAATAAATATATATGTATACACATGTGTACCTTTTATTTAAATGATAATTTATACATATTTTTAGAACATTTCTAATTCATTTTGATGTTTTTTGGACCATCATTTTTTTTTGTCCAGATTGTCCAAATTGTGACCCAGAATTATGAGTGTTTATAGGTTGCTAGAAGAGACTGTAGGTAAGGAAGAGTGGAATGGGCAGTGAATTATACGTTTGTGTAGATGAAAATATACATACATTTTTGTATATTATAAGGAAAATATATCTCATTTTAAATCTAATATTCTACATCTACATCAACAAAACATGCGAGAGTAAATCTGACAGTGAAATGTTCACTATTAAATCCTAAAAACCAGAACTGAGCAGTGTACAGTGAGAAAGACAGTAAATAAAAAATAATAAATAGATATGAATGTGTACCTTTATTTAAATTATATTTTATACAGATTTTTAGCATATGTTTTATTTATTTTGATGTTTTTTGGGCTACCATAATTTTTTTAATGAGTTGTCCTTATTAAGCCCAGCGTTGAGTTACAACAATCCAGAATTATTAAGTGATTAAAGGTTGCTAGAAGGTAAAGTGAAATGGGCAGCAAATAAAAAAAAAAATAAAAAAAGGATATAATTGATTTTTAAGAAATGTTTGATATATTTTTTTGTTTTTTGGGGGGCAGTGCGGTGGCTCAGTGGTTAGCACCATCATCTCACAGCAAAAAGGTCGCTGGTTCGAGTCCCAGCTGGGTCAGTTGGCGTTTCTGTGTGGAGTTTGCATGTTCTCCCTGTGTTGGTGTGGGTTTCCTCCACAGTTCAAACACATGCGCTATAGGGGAATTGGAAAAAACGAAATTGTCTGTAGTGTGAGTGTGTGTGTGAACAAGAGTGTGGTGAACCCTGATAAAGAGATTAAGCTGAAGGAAATTTAGTGAATGAATGTTTATTGGGCTAATACAGCAAGAAGGTCGCTGGTTCAAGCCTCGGCTGGGTCATTTGATATTTCTGTGTGGAGTTTGCATGTTCTCCTTGAGTTTGCGTGGGTTTCCTCTGGGTGCTCCGTTTTCCCCCACAGTACTAACATGTGCTATAGGTGAATTGGGTAGGCTAAATTGTCCGTAGTGTATGAGTGTGAATGATGTTTCTGACTGATGGGTTGCAGCTAGAAGGGCATCCGCTGCGTAAAACATGTGCTGGATAAGTTAGCGGTTCATTCCGCTGTGGCGACCCCAGATTAATAAAGGGACAAGCCAAAAAGAAAATGAATGAATGTTCCTGTATCTATCACTGTAAATGTGTTGATGCATTTTTTTGAGTGTGGGGGTCAATAAAAGGACTTGTGCTATATATGTCAGTGCTATAAACATATCAAGCCCATCCGCCTCAAGGTTGGACGTGTTGTGTGTTCAGAGATGCTCTTCTGCAGACCTCGGTTGTAACGAGTGCTTATTTGAGTTACTGTTACCTTTCTATCAGCTGGAACCAGTCTGGCCATTCTCCTCTGACCTCCAGCATCAACAAGGCATTTGTGCCCACAGAACTGCCGCTCAATGGATATTTTCTCTATTTCAGACCATTCCTTTTAATCCCTAGAGATGGTTGTGCATGAAAATCCCAGTAGATCAGCAGTTTCTGAAATACTCAGAGCAGCCCGTCTTGCACCAACAACCATGCCACGTTCAAAGTCACTTAAATCCCCTTTCTTCCCCATTCTGATGCTCGCTTTGAACTGCAGCAGATCGTCTTGACCATGTCTACATGCCTACATGCACTGAATTGCTGCAATGGGATTGGCTGATTAAAAATTTGCATTAACAAGCAGTTAGACAGGCGTACCTAATAAAGTGGCCGGTGAGTGTATATAGCAAGAGCACTTTTACTGACCCCCACACTTAAAAAAAAAAAAAAAAAGTGATATTTGATTTCAACTGACTCCTTGATTTGATTTTTGCCAGGAGGTGAAGCTGGGCTGGATGTTTTAGCGGGTCCCGGGCTGCTACTGGGAAGTCCTGATAAAAAGAGACGCAAGTCAAGCACACAGGTACTGCAGGAAACTCTACATCAGCACATGCTCTCTGTCAACTCAGAGAATAAAATTGTATAATACATTCTAAAAGTATGTACTTTTTTCTGACTTGCATTTAAAGCAGTCATAGGAGACTCCAACACAATATAAGGGCACTTTAAAATACCATATGATCTGCTGTTAAATATATAATGTTGTTATACAAATGTTGTACATTATTGTGCTCGAAAGCTTTACGCTCTCTTGAGATGCCCTAAAAACACATACAAATAATACATTTTCACTATTTTATGTTTATAATTTGCGACGACTCCACAAATCTCATGTATTCTCAACTGTTGATCATCTATAATCCCATTTCAACATTGCAGATCCTGCAATGTGACTATTGTGGATGCAAACATTGCGATATTCATGCTGAAACCATATATTGTGCACATTCCGACATGTTTTCTGACCGTAGATGCATTTAAATCAGTCGTAGTAGACACCAACACAATATTAGGGCACTTTAAATTACAACATGACCTGCTGTTAAATATATAATGTTGTTATTTGCAAAAACTCCATAAATCTCTACTATAACCCCAACTCAACATTGCAGATCCTGTGATGTGAATATTGTGGATGCATCCCATAGTGCTTAAACCATGAATTGTGCAGCCCCAAAGTAAATACATATTCTGACATGTTTTCTGACCTGCGTTTAAAGTTGTTGTAGGAGACGCAAGTCAAGCACAAAAGTACTGCAGGAAACTCTACATCAGCACATGCTCTCTGTCAACTCAGAGAATAAAATTGTGCTGCGTCCCAATTCGCATACTTATACTAAAAGTATATTCTAAAAGTATGTACTTCTTTCTGACTTGCATTTAAAGCAGTCATAGGAGACTCCAACACAATATTAGGGCACTTTAAAATACCATATGATCTGCTGTTAAGTATATAAAGTAATGTTGGTAAACAAATGTTGTGCGTTATTGTGCCTGAATGCTTTACACTCTCTTAAAAAGCATTTAAAACATTTGCAAACGCTAAAGTTTCACTTTTTAATGCTTATACTTTGCAATGATTCCATTAATCTCTTGTATTCTCAATTGATGATCAGCTATAATCCCAACTCAACATTGCAGACACTGTGACGTGACTATTGTGGATGCACACATTGTGATATCCATGCTGAAACCATATATTTAGCATATTCTGACATGTTTTCTGACCTTGGATGCTTTTAAATCAGTCGTAGGAGACACCAACACAATATTAGAGCACTATAAAACACAACATGATCTGCTGTTAAGTATATAAAGTAATGTTGTTAAACAAATGTTGTGCGTTATTGTGCTGAAGGCTTTACACTCTCTTAAAAAGCATTCAAAACATATGCAAATGGTAAAGTTTACCTTTGTAATGCTTATACTTTGCAATGACTCCATAAATCTCTTGTCTTCTCAATTGATGATCAGCTATAATCCCAACTCAACATTGCAGACACTGTGACGTGACTATTGTGGATGCACACATTGCAATATCCATGATGAAACCATATATTGTGCACATTCTGACATGTTTTCTGACCTTAGATGCATTTAAATCAGTCGTAGTAGACACCAACACAATATTAGGGCACTATAAAACACAACATGATCTGCTGTTAAGTATATAAAGTAATGTTGTTAAACAAATGTTGTGCGTTATTGTGCTGAAAGCTTTACGCTCTCCTCAAAAGCCTTTAATACATTTGCAAACGATAAGGTTTCACTCTTTAATACTTAAACTTTGCAATGACTCCATAAATCTCTTGTATTCTCAATTATTGATCAACTATAATCCCAACTCAACATTGCAGATCCTAAGATGTGACTATTTCGGATCCACACATTGTAATATTGATGCTGAAACCATATTTTGTGCACATTCTGACATGTTTTCTGACCTTAGATGCATTTAAATCAGTCTCAGACACCAACACAATATTAGGTCACTTTAAAATAAAACATGATCTGCTGTTAGGTATATAAAGTAATGTTGTTAAACAAATGTTGTGCGTTATTGTGCTGAAAGCTTTACGCTCTCCTCAAAAGCCTTTAAAACATTTGCAAACGCTAAAGTTTCAATCTTTAATGCTTAAACTTTGCAATGACTCCATAAATCTCTTGTATTCTCAATTATTGATCAACTATAATCCCAACTCAACATTGCAGATCCTAAGATGTGACTATTTCGGATCCACACATTGTAATATTGATGCTGAAACCATATTTTGTGCACATTCTGACATGTTTTCTGACCTTAGATGCATTTAAATCAGTCTCAGACACCAACACAATATTAGGTCACTTTAAAATAAAACATGATCTGCTGTTAGGTATATAAAGTAATGTTGTTAAACAAATGTTGTGCGTTATTGTGCTGAAAGCTTTACGCTCTCCTCAAAAGCCTTTAATACATTTGCAAACGATAAGGTTTCACTCTTTAATACTTAAACTTTGCAATGACTCCATAAATCTCTTGTATTCTCAATTATTGATCAACTATAATCCCAACTCAACATTGCAGATCCNTACGCTCTCCTCAAAAGCCTTTAAAACATTTGCAAACGCTAAAGTTTCAATCTTTAATGCTTAAACTTTGCAATGACTCCATAAATCTCTTGTATTCTCAATTATTGATCAACTATAATCCCAACTCAACATTGCAGATCCCTTAACGTGACTATCACATTGTGATATCCATGCTGAAACCATATATTGTGCACATTCTGACATGTTTTCTGACCTTGGATGCTTTTAAATCAGTCGTAGGAGACACCAACACAATATTAGGGCACTTTAAAATACAACATGATCTGCTGTTAAGTATATAAAGTAATGTTGTTAAACAAATGTTGTGCGTTATTGTGCTGAAAGCTTTACGCTCTCCTCAAAAGCCTTTAATACATTTGCAAACGATAAGGTTTCACTCTTTAATACTTAAACTTTGCAATGACTCCATAAATCTCTTGTATTCTCAATTATTGATCAACTATAATCCCAACTCAACATTGCAGATCCCTTAACGTGACTATCACATTGTGATATCCATGCTGAAACCATATATTGTGCACATTCTGACATGTTTTTTGACCTTAGATGCATTTAAATCAGTCATAGTAGACACCAGCACAATATTAGGGCACTTTAAAATACCATATGATGTGCTGTTAAGTAAAACACACACACACATTTGAAGAGCTTTTGATTTGTGCATGAAAATAAAGGTGTGTTTTCTTGTCAGGCTCCGCCCTTCTCTCCTCTATCTGAATATGCTCCTCCGCCAAACCCGAGCGCTGATCATCTGATCGCTGCCAATCCTTTCGATGACAATTACATCTCTCCATCCCTGAAGCCTTATTTTGGACACTCGCATTACCCAGCATCCAACAGCTATGGGTCGTCCAGGATGCCTTCACCATACGGGCCCACTATTCAGACACAACCTCAGTATTTTTCCCAGAATCCAACCGGGTTCAGTAGAACACACAGGTTTAACTACAGTCCAAATTATGTGCATGCTTTTTGTGGTGGAAACAACAACAACAACAACATGCACTTTGGATCTGTAGAGCACGGCGATCAGATACCACTGCAAAATCTCAACCAAAGGAGTCCAGGGTTCAATCCAGATGCAAATACAACCCGAAATATGAGCCCTAACCTGAATAACTTCACACAATCCAACACCAAACAAGACCACAGCGAAGCAGCGAATAAAAAACACTCACACAATGTGAACTGTGAAGAAAACGCGACTCAGGACAACAAGACCAAGGGAGGACCGGAAAAACTCAATGGAGTTTTTCACTCTAATAATGAAAAGAAGTCTCCAGATTATCGCAGAAGTGCTTTGAGAATGAATAAAGTGAAACGCAGAAGCACGTCGTCTTCATCCGAGCCTGTTTTCCCATGCGGGATTTGCTTAAACGAAGTGAATGATGACCAAGAGGCCATTCTGTGCGAGGCTTCGTGTCAGAAATGGTTCCACAGAGTTTGCACGGGGATGACGGAGACGGCGTATAATCTGCTCACGGCCGAGACGTCTGCGGTTTGGGGATGCGACACTTGCATGGAGGACAGGGAAGTGCAGATGATGAAAAACAGTGATGGACAATCATGAATGTGACTGATGCCGAAGTCCAGGCATCTGTTAAAGAGTTCAACCTAAAAGTTTGAATTATATCATCGTTTATTTACTCGTCACAAATCTATTAGAGTTTCTTTCTGCTGTTCAACCAAAGTTCCTTTAAAGTTCCCATCAAGTGCTTTGAAATGGGCATTTTTAATTGCAGTGTTTGACGTAATTTCTATTGATACATGAAAAGGGGGCAGGGCATAGTGTAGCCACTCCCATTTTTATAAAACAGCCAATAGACCAATTACCATGTTTGTAAACATACAGAATGCGCCCGCAGGGAGGTGGCAGAAAGCAACCGGGAGCCCTAGCATTTACAGCGAGGGGATGACATCAGATGCGGTGCAGAGTTGTTGTTGTTGTTGTCTTAGAAATTATTACTTACATATTATATATATTAGTTACATAATGCTTACAGCGTATTATAACAGCTCGTCTCCCAGTGATAAGCACAGTGGTTCGGCAAAATTAACGTTAAAGTGAGCGGCGTTCATCTGACAGGTCCATTTGCGATAGCACCCACCCAATGAATATTGGATAAGACGAAGTGACCGAGCATCCAGCCCGAAATATACAATCTCATTGAGGCTCCGAGTGATTTTACAAGAGAGAAGTTAAAGGTCTACAAGTCTTTGGATGCCAACAATGTTGTTCTTTGAGCTCATGTGCAATAAATATTGCTCCATGATGACCAGATTCAAGAGCTAAACACAGAGATTCCGCCTAGCCAAAGACAAGGAAACAAGACGGAGCTAACGTTATACAAGCCCTAGGTAATTAATCACCAACACGCGAAACGACTGCATGACAGTGAACTTCACCTGTACGGCAGGGTATGTGAACCTACACATAAAGGTAAAGTTGGTTTTATATTCGCACATTCAGACTTTCTCCTTAATAATATAATTTCATAAAAATATTATTTGCAAACTCTAAATAGCGAAATCATATTAGCAGCAGCCAATGACTATCAAAGTACAACATTGTTCACAGTCAAATAAACAGTGCTAATGTTGTTTTCAAGTCACACTTGCAGGTTATTTCAGACCGAATATTCAAAGTGTCGTGGTAAACAAAATAGGGAGTGTTTCACAAGTTGTCACTGAATGAATGTGTGAATATAAAACCAAGTTTACCTTAATAAACGTAACTTTCACGTTTCATTCTTAGTATTCAGTGTCCGCAGTTACCATAAGTAACTGTTTTGCTGAAATCATTGCAGAAATCAAAAACGAGTGATGTGTCTGATTCAGCAAAGCGTGAACTGACCTGATATGACATTAGAACTGTAGAGTCCAGCATTTCTAATTAGCTCCTCACTTCATTCAGCTCCCATTTAGTCAAAGACGTCTGCAGTCGGTATTAAAGCAGTGTGTGGTGTATGATAAAAGTTAAGATTTCTGTTTTTGGACTCAAATTCGGCATCCTACCGCACAACACGACATCTTTCCCATTGTAGCCTGTCTTCTTTTTGCAACCGGGGACCCGTGTGATGTCATGCGTGACGTAAGTTGGTAATTGGTCTATAGCTTTTTGCTAATAGTTGTTGGTGGAGCTAAAGTTCTATTTTAGCGCACTTTGTTTTCGGCACCTCTCTGGTGGAATTTCCAAAACACCTTTGTCTTTAAATCTTTATTTATTTATTAAGATTCAGATTCCCTGCAGAAAGAAAACGAGTTTCTACTTCAGAATCCGACTTCTGTGCTCGATTAGGATATAGGTGTGTACACTGCCTGACAAATGTCTTGTCATCAATCTCGGCTGTAAGAGCTACAAATAATAACTCGACTTCTAGTTGATCATTTGGAAAAAGTGTCAGTGATTTTTCTGATGAATCATCTGTTGATCTGCATCCCAATCATCACAAATACTTTAGAAGACCTACTGGAACCAGCATGGAGTCAAGGCTCTCACTGAAATCAGTCAAGTTTGGTGAAGGAAAAATCATGGTTTGGGGTTACATTCAGTATGGGGGTGTGCGAAAGATCTGCAGAGTTGATGATCAACATCAACAGCCTGAAGTATCAAGACATTTGTGCTGCCCATTACATTACAAACCACAGGAGAGGGACAATTCTCCAGCAGGATAGCGCTCCTTCTCATACTTCAGCCTCCACATCAAAGCTCCTGAAAGCAAAGAAGGTCAAGCTGCTCCAGGATTGGCCAGCCCAGTCACCAGACTTGAACATTATTGAGCATGTCTAGGGTATGATGAAGTAGAAGGCATTGAAGATGAACACAAAGAGTCTTGATGAACTCTGGGAGTCCTGCAGGAACGCTTTCTTTGGCATTCCAGATGACTTTATTAATCAGTGATTTGAGTCATGTCAGAGATGTATGGATGCAGTCCTCCAAGCTCATGATGGAGTCACACACAATATTCATTCTGTCTCCACTGCAGCAGGACTTTATATTCTATACTGGACATTATTTCTGTTCAGTGACGAGACTTTAGTCTAAGCAGAGTCAGACCTTACTGTCCTGATGAAATAATTCATAATCAAGGCATGATCATATTTTATTGTGCTCAAATAAGCGTAATCTAGAGGCCTTTGCCTTTTATATAAGCCACTTCTGATACCAAATGATCAACTAGAAGTCCAGTTATTAGTTGTTCTGTTATAAAACTTGGATAGGCGACAAGACTGTCATGAATTATACAGTTCAAAACAAAATGATTAGCTTTTCTGTAAATAATTTTTGTTCTTTATCAAATATTTCTCAAGCAAGCACATTTTCACAGTATTTCCAATTATGCTTTTCTTCTGGAGAAAGCCTGGAGGCATTAACATTTTAGAAAAATGTAAAAACTGCTGGTGGCACAGTGGCTCAGTTGATCGCACTGTGACCTCACAGCAAGAAGGTTACTGGATCGAGTCCTGGCTTGGTCAGTTGGCATTTCTGTGTGGAGTTTGCATGTTCTCCCCATGTTGGTGTAAGTTTCCTCCGGGTGCTCCGGTTTCCCCCACAGTCCAAACACATTCGCTATAGGGAAATTGGGTGAACTAAATTGGCCAAAGTGTATGAGTGTGTGTGAATGAGAGTGTATGGGTGTTTCTCAGTACTGGGTTGCAGCTGGAAGGGCATGCACTGTGTAAAACACATGCTGGAATAGTTCATTCCACTGTGGCGAGCTCTAAAATAAAGACTAAGCCGAAGGAAAATTAATGAATTTAGTTGCAACTGTATTTATTCATGTGATGCAAAACTATTTCCCTTTGCATCCTCACCATGATCTTAAAGAAATCACTTTAATATGCTGATTTAATAATCAAGAAAGAAATCTGGTGATTAATAAGCAGCTTCATATTTCTGTGGGAACAGTCTCTTCAAGATGATGCTGTCACTTAAGATCAATTCACTGCATCATTAATGAATTAAAATGTTAATTTCTTTTTTTAAGTCAAGGTGTATGGTTGTTTATGGGTGAATTATTCATTGTGTAGATCTCAAATTTTCATTCATTCATTTTCTTGTCGGCTTAGTCCCTTTATTAATCCGGGGTCGCCACAGCGGAATGAACCGCCAACTTATCCAGCAAGTTTTTTACGCAGCGGATGCCCTTCCAGCCACAACCCATCTCTGGGAAACATTCACACACACTACGGACAATTTAGCCTACCCAATTCACCTGTACCGCATGTCTTTGGACTGTGGGGGAAACCGGAGCACCCGGAGGAAACCCACGCGAAGGCAGGGAGAACATGCAAACTCCACACAGAAACGTCAACTGAGCCGAGGCTCGAACCAGCGACCTTCTTGCTGTGAGGCGACAGCACTACCTACTGCGCCACTGCCTCGCCCCCTCAAATTTTCAAATATTCAAAATATTTTTTCATTTTTCTTTACACTTTCTTTGGTTGTTTGAGCTCTGATGTCTTCCTATGGCTCACCTCAATGACATCTAATATCTTCAAATTTATTGTTGGCAGGTTTTTATCAAATATTCCAGTAAGTTAAAACAGTACAACTACATCGAACAATATCTCAAAGTCGTTTTCTTGATTCGGAAAGCTCGATAATCTGCAAGCTGAAGACGTGGGTATTTGTAGATGCTGATCATTTTATAACTCGCAGGATTAGATCGTTCCCTTTGAATGTCGAAGATTTACTGTAGTGTGATTTCTGATGAGTGTCATCATCACATGTGTCTTGTATAACTCTCGAGGGTACTAGATTAGTTCTATTGAGCAATATTTCTGGTTGGATTTTGCTTTATGATGCTTCTTTTGACTTTTTTTTCTAACTATTTGGCTCATTGATTGTTTTATGATCGCATGAATGTTTAAAGCTTGAATTAACAGAGCCAGAAAACAAACTGATGTTGAAATGCACGTGATACTTTGAGTTGTGTTAGTATGGGTTGATTTTAATCAGTACCAATTTTTGACACAATTGAGGAGGTTTGCTACTTGAAGGCATTGTTACCAGAAACATAATGTATAAAATACTGTAAAATGAGAATCAACATGGGGAATCAGGACAACTACATAAAGTCTAGACATACTTTTTTGTTAGATTCAGCAATATATCATCATAAATGAATTGTTTTATTCACTATTAGTGATGGGAAGTTCGGATCATTTTACTGACTCGGATCTTTGAGTCTCGTTCATCGAGATGAACGAATCTCTTTGCGAGTCATTTTCGTTCATTTGGTTCAATTTGCTAAAATATTATTAAAATGTTACGAATTGCTTCCAAACACATCTACAACTAGCCCAAAAGGCTGATCACACGACAAATAAGTCATAAATAGAGTACTATAAGAAGGAGAAAATAATAATTCAATGTTTACCTGCTCTTTTGTCTATGAAGGCATTGGTGTCTCTTTGCTCAGCTCACCTCTTCATGTCCTCAAATGTCAGTGGTTCGTTCACGTTACACTGACAGTCACATATAATCTTAACCAATGTGCACAGTCTGAGCCGATAGGAGCCATGATTATTAGTTCACCTTTCATCACGTGACAGAATGACTCAAACCCGAGGACTCGAGAGATGAACAGTTCAATTCTTTTTCCGGCTCTAAACGCGTATGATTGGCAAGTGAGGAACGAGTGACTCAAACCCGATAGAGGACTCGAGAGATGAACGGATCAATTCTTTTTCCGGCTCTAAACGCATATAATTGGCTTCTGGCTTTCCGCGATGAACGACTCAAAAGACTTGAAATGAATGAGACCACCTGCACAAATGTGCGCACGCACATGATGCACAGGATGAACGAATCACTCCCTGAGAGGACTCGTAGTTCCCGAGTCATATTGAAGATTCAATCAAAATGAACGAATCATTCATGAACGACCCATCACTATTCCCTGTTTATTGTTTTGAAAAGGATGAATACAATTCCTCTACAGTTCTGTTGACTATATTTAATAGCTTTTATGTGTTATACTCCTCAGAGAATGTTGTGTTCCATTGGTCAGGGAAGCATTGTGGCATTATGAATGTAAACCATTGATTGTCCATTTGATTGTCCATTGATGCTGGATTATTTCAACCCAATGTATGGGTGTAACAAGGACTAACACACCTCATGATTTTAGCCAAATATGATCCTGGATTAACATCTGTGTTGAGCCTGGAACATCATTTTTGTTGGAAAATGTAATCCATACCTATTCATAAACCCAACCATTACTGTAAATTATTCCCAAAATCAGAGGGGAATATTAGTTGGATGACGATCATGTAAATGTCTATAAAGCTAACAGTTCTGATTGGCTGATTTAAATGTTGTTCCAGGATCAACATCCCAGGTAGCAAAGAAATCTGGCCCAGATTTGGCCTAAAAGCTGGCACAGCAGGCATTCGTCTGGTACTGGCATACAGCATGTGGGCCAAACATGGCCCAGCTTTGGCAGAGGTGGCACCGTCTTTAATGTTGCACACAAGACTTGGGCCAGATATCAAATGTAATTTTTGGCCCATATGTTAAAAATGTATATGTGGTCCACGTAAATTTGGCCTAACTTGACCCACTTTTAAAACACATTTAAATTATTTTTGAGTAAAGAAAACATTCTACCAATCAGGTTGCTTCAAGAAAAAGCATGGCCATAAAGCAAACTGCTGCATGGGTTTATCAAATTCTTTGCAGTCGTGACACACCAACATATCTGGCCCAGTTCAGGCCCAGTTATGGGTAATTTACTTGGCTGAGACTTGGTCCAGATATGGTCCATGTTTGGCCCTTGTATGGAAGCCAGACTTGGTCCAGTCATGTACCGTAATTCACTGCTCATGTGGGCCAAGCAAAACCTGATTGTGTGGGCCAGATCTGGGCCAGAGACACTCACTTTTAGGGTTAGTTCCAAAGCAATCTCACAGCAATTCGTAACTTTTTGATTTAGTGGCTAATTTGTATGAATTCGTACAATCTAATTTGTGCAATTTAGTACGATTTGCTCATCACCCAATGATGGTTGGGGTTAGCGGTGGGATTGGTTGCCACGCCTCCTTTTTAAAATCGTACAATTTCATATGACTGAACTCGTACGAATTAGCCACTAAACTGACAAAACGTAAAATACTTGCGTTTCCTCGTGAGATCAGGCTGATTAGTTCATATTTTACCCAATTTGGGTTTAAATAACCCAACATTTCTTAGTGTATCTACATGTTTATGAACACTAGCAGATATTATGTCATGTAACAGTGCTAATCACAGCAAAAACACACTATTGACGATCTATCTGATTTCAGTTGTTAAACAAGACTTAAAATATAGTGTCATGTTATGGAAATTGGGAGGTGACATAGGGGCTTAGTGGTTAGCACTGTTACCTTGCAGCAAGAAGGTTGCTGGTTTGAGTCCCAGCAGGGTCAGTTGGCGTTTCTATGTGGAGTTTGCATGTTCTCCCTGTGTTGGTGTGGGTTTCCTCCACAGAGCAAACACATGCGCTATAGGGAAATTGATGATCTAAATTGGTGTATGAGTTTGAATGAGTGTGTATGGATGTTTCCCAGCACCGGGTTGCACCTAAAAGGGCATCCACTGTGTAAAACATATGCTGGATAAATTGGTGGTTCATTCCGCTGTGGTGAACCCTAACGAACAAAGGGACTAAGGCAGGGGTGTCCACACTCGGTCCTGGAGGGCCGGTGTCCTGCAAAGTTTAGTTCCAACCCCAATCAGACACAGCTAGCAAATCAAGCTCCTACTAGGCTTTCTAGAAACATCCATGAAGGTGTGTTGAGGCAAGTTGGAGCTAAAATTTGCAAGAAACTAGCCCTCCAACACCGAGTTTGGACACCCCTGGACTAAGCTAAAGGAAAATGAATGAATGTTATGGAAGTTAATTAATGAGTAGTTATCATGCGTCTTAATGACTAATTAATGTATGTCGTGTTTGTATAATTGACCATATCTGCTGACCCTTTGTGCCTTAAATGATGAGATGTTTACATCTTAAATTCATTAAGCAGTGAATTATTGACACACTTATCAATGAATATTTGTGCAACTAATTTTATAACAGGACAATGAATGTATGCAGCCAATAGACTGTAAATAATCAACAATATGAAGCGAATATGTTTGTGGCTTCCTCAAAACCAAGCTAGTACAACACTTACAGTTCACTGAATGTAAAATACGTCTTTTGTGCTTTGATAACTCTTATTTCTCTGTGAAAACATCCCTGTTTTAATAGAAAACATTGGCCAAGCCATTATTCAGATGTATATATAAGTCTCAGTTTGAACAGTGTTTAATAAAAAGGATTTTAAAAAGACATTTTTCTTTGTGTAACGTCAGTTAATTTGACAGAAAAGTCACCTCAATTTTATATGTGCTTAAATTTCTCACAGCAAAACACAGAGTTGATTCTTTAGTGTGTATAAATTATGAATAACCAGTTTCTCCTCATGTAGAAAATTGAAGCTGAAATGTCTCAGGTATGACCGCCGCCATCTTTTGGATGATGACATCATTTGGAGCCAGGAGTTGTGCAGTACTGATTGTTCAATAGACTGCATCCTAGTCTTAAAATTTCATTTCTTTTACTTTATTCAATTGTATTTGACTCTACTTAAATTAAATAAATTAAATTTTGTTATTATACATCAGTTTTTTTTAATTATTAGGAAACAATAGGTATTCATCATACAATAAAGAAACTTAAAATGTCAAACAACCTTCATATAAAGACTTTAAAACAACCTTAATTTAACAAAGACACCGTTCTTTGGCTTTTAATTTAAATACAACACAAATATATTTAATGTAAGACAAATGCTAAGCTTGTGGTGCTCTTATTTTGTATTTATTTGTATTCATTTTATATATTTTTGTATTTAATATGAGGAATCTGTCAAGACTTGGTGCTCAATATTATAATTCAATGTAATGTTATAAGTGACCTTAAAATAAAATTAAACAAATGAGAGCGAGTGGTAGAAACCGGAAATGGCAGGCCATCGATTGTTCCGCCCCTTAGCAACCGCCGTCACTTCGTAGCAACCAGTGTTTACATCTCGCTAAGGAGAGTCAAAGATGCCGCTGATAGTGAGAGATCACACATGGACACAAAACCTGAGCACAGTTTACATCAGCGTCCCTTTAAAAGCAGTGAAAACCGCAAATGTACACATCATCTGCACGGACGACTACCTGAAGGTCAGACATCAATCATAGCTTTAATGTGCGTGCGTGTGTGTGTGACTGGTGAAACTCGCGGAGCTCTTCATGTGTGTTTGTGTTGTTGTGCAGGTCAGTTTCCCACCGTTTCTCTTCGAGGTTTTCTTATTCGCCTCAATAAATGAGGAGAAAAGTGAAGCCAGGATTGGAAACGGTGCTGCAGTTTTCACTCTTCAGAAGAGGAGAGATGAAATGTGGGAGCAGCTCTGTACAAACATCGGTAAGACATGTTGACTGTCACAGTCTGGAAAGGTAACGTTGTATTTGATGTAACGAATACAATTTAAAGGTATAGTTCACCCAATAATGAAAACTTAAGTAGTTCCAACCCTTAAAATAACCCACAAAATAAGTTGCTTTTTAAATATTTAACCACTCTGTACTGTTGGTGATGTTTTGATGCACTCTGAGGTGATTAATTTGGCCACAACTCTCGCTGTATTTCAGCAAATGTGACAAATCTTATTTTGACACATATTTTGGGGAAAATGCTTTGAATGTTTTTTAAACCCAATAATACACTCAAATTTAACGTTACTCCCCTTTCGTGATGTTAGTGGCTGTTTTTGCCCCTTTAACTTCCTTTATAATCACATTTTTTGATTGCAAAGCCATAACAGCATATAATCATGCTATCTCGATTGTTGCTGGTTTTCCCTGTTGCGAAGAAGTAAAATGTATATTTTTTTCTGTTTATCATCAGTTGCAGTACAAAAAAAGGTTAGTTTCTGTCACTGTAGTTATGTGTAGTATGTGTGTGTGTGTGTGTGTGTGTGTGTGTGTGTGTGTGTGTGTGTGTGTGTGTGTGTGTGTGTAAGAGACCTTTGCACACTTACCTTGATATGTCTAAGAAAAGCAAAATAAACCGCTCAACTCTCAAAATATACAGCAATGCATACACAGTAAGTTTATTTATGCACGCACACTACAATTTGCTGTTTCACTCCATAAGAACGTCGGATAAAAGCCAGAAACTCTTTTGCACAGGCCTAAAGGGTTAATAGTGCTAACTGATGATCAACAGTAAAAATAAAAAGTTTCCTTACAGGGAAAACCACCAACAGTCAAGAATGCTCAAGGGTTAAACACCTGTAACTACTGACTTTCATAGTAGGAAAAACAAATACTATGGAAGTCAATGGTTACCGGTTTCCTGCTTTCGTCAAAATAACTTATTTTGTGTTTCATAGAAGAAATAAACTCAAATAGGTTTTGAACAAGTGAAGATTTAGTAAATGATGACAGTATTTTATGTTACTACTTACATGTTTATATTAGGAAAAACAAATACCATGGAAGTCAATGGTTACTGGTTTACTGCATTTTTCAAAATAAGTTCTTTTGTGTCGAACAAAAGAAAGATACTTAAACATATTTTAAACAAGTAAAAGATGAGTAATTGATGACAGAATTTTATGTAACTACTGACTTTCATAGTCTGAAAAATATATACTATGGAAGTCAATGGTTACCGGTTTCCTGCTTTTGTCAAAATAACTTATTATGTGTTGAACAAAAGAGAGACATTCAAACACGTTTTAAATGAGTAAAGAATGAGTAAAGGATGACACAATTTTATGTAACTACTGACTTTCATAGTAGGAAAAACAAATACTATGAAAGTCAATGGTTACCGGTTTTAGCATTCTTCAAAACAAGTTTGTTTGTGTTCAACAAAAAAAAAGATACTTAAACAGGTTTTGAACAGGTAAAGGTTGAGTAAGTGATGACAGACTTTTATGTAACTACTGACTTTTATCGTAGGAAAAACATACTATGGAAGTCAATGGTTACAGGTTTTCAGCTTTCTTTAAAATATCTATTTTTGTGTTTAACAGAGGAAAATAACTGAAACAGGTTTTGAACAAGTAAAGGATGAGTATGTGTTAGAATTTTATGTAGCTACTGACTTTCATTGTAGGAAAAAAAAAATACTATGGAAGTCAATGGTTACTGGTTTCCTGCATTCATCAAAATAACTTATTTTGTGTTTAAGAGAAGAAATAAACTCAAAAAGATTTTGAACAAGTGAAAGATGAGTAAATGATGACAGAATTTTTTGTAACTACTGACATTCATTGTAGGAAAAACAAATACTATGGAGGTCAATGGTTACCGGTTTTCTGCATTCTTTAAAATAACTTATTTTGTGTTCAACAAAAGAAAGATACTTAAACAGGTTTTGAACAAGTGAAGATGAGTAAATGATGACAGAATTTTCATTTTTAGGTGAACTACTACTTTGATTTCTTAATTCATTTCTTACAAATTTTTATTTCAAAGATAAAGAGAAGCAGAAGCAAATTCGAGAACAAGCCGTTCTCAAAGTTCAGGAGAAAGCAGTGGAAAAGTCTAAAACCAAAGCCACCCGGATTCAACAGGAGAAGAAGTATGCGCTGGAAACCATGATGAAGGTCTAAATGTGTTTTTTGGAATTTGGTCTACTAGTTATACAGTACTGTTAATATGATTACAGAGAAGCTTATAAATTTGCCTGTGCCTTCCTGCGCACTTCTCAACATGCCCCCAGCATAGTGAAATTTATGAGAAAATGTGATTTTGCAAAAAATTATAGCAAAAATAATAGATTATGGCAAAATACAAGATGTTTAAATCAGTATATCAGTAGATTTTTTACTGTTAAGACAAAGTCGATACGATTTCAAGCATCAAAGTTTATAGGTTAATACTAAAACATTTTATACAGTACTTTAGAATGCGTCCTGTATTTTTTATAGAAATATACAGTTGAAGTCAGAATTATTAGCCCCCCTGAATTATTAGACCCCCCGTTTATTTTTTTTCCCCAATTTCTGTTTAATACAGAGCAGAGTTTTTCAACACATTTCTAATTATAATAATTTTAATAACTTATTTCTAATTACTGATTTATTTTATCTTTACCATGATGACAGTAAATAATATTTTACTTGATATTTTTCAAGACACTTCTATACAGCTTAAAGTGACATTTAAAGGCTTAACTTTGTTAATTGGGTTAACTAGACAGGTTAGGGTAATTAGGCAAGTTATTGTATAACCATAATTTATTCTGTTGACTATCGAAAAAAAAATTAGCTTAAAGGGGCTAATAATATTGTCCTTAAAATGGTGTTAAAAAATAAAAAAAAATGCTTTTATTCTAGTTGAATTAAAACAAATAAGACTTTCTCCAGAAGAACAAATATTTTCAGACATACTGTGAAAATTTCCCTGCTCTGTTAAACATCATTTAGGAAATATTTAAAAAAGAAAAAAATATATCTAATATTTTTAGCATTATTTACATAAGACACCCAATGTTATTTAGTTTAGCAAAAGTTTAAATGCTAAAATCTCTTATCGTGTATATTTATGACAAGAATTGTTTCATGAAATAAAAATGAACGTACAATATTAAATCTTAAAACACAAATTATTTATCATTTTAAATTGTTATATTTAATCTATATATAATCCTGTCTGCAAGAAAAAAACAATTATGATCATTTTTTTAAGTACAGATCACAATAAATACTGTCTGTATGTTTAATATAGTTTTAATATTTTTTCTTATGCTTAATGTTTTAAGTTATTTTTATTTTGTTGTGACCAATATTATATGAAAGCCGATACTTGACTTGCCTTTGATGCTTTGTGTATTAATTACATTTGTGAATTTTAAACTGGGGCAGACACCACAACGCAACGTCTACAATCTTTAAATAAACGAGTTAAATATTAGATATTATGATTTGCATAAAAAATAAAGCTAATAAAACTTGACTCCATTTTTATGACACTTTATTAGCTATATATATATGGTGATATTTATAGTGAAGAGCGCTATACAAATAAACTTAAACTGAACTGATTATATAATTTGGCACAATCATCTTCTTCTTTGTTTAAATGTCATCTCAAGCAATTTCTGCCTGTGTTTAGCTTGAGAGCGAGGAGCGGGAGAGGATTCAGAAGAGGAAGGATGAAGAGTGTGCGAGAGCCACAGCAGAGCTGGATTTCTGGAGAGAAACACAGAGAAAAACAGCCGAGGGAAACGAGAACCAGATAAAAGAGCAGAGAACCAGCACACATGACGACAAACCGGCTCCTCAGAAAATAAAGCATGCGAACACTTCACCTGCAGACACAGCATTGGTGAAAACTGACAACACTATCACTGGTAAACAAACTTATACATCCTTGCCATTTGGAAATATCATTAAGAAGCAGTCAATATACAGTTACAGTCAGAAATATGAGAATTAATTTGAATTATTTTATATATTTATTCTCAATTTCTGCTTTATTTCAGCACATTTCTTAACATAATAGTTTTTAAGAGTTCACACTAAGCTCATGATTTATACATAGCTTGTTTGGCATGCTGTCCTGGGAGAGAGATCTGAGCTCAAGGGATCTTTGAGCCCAGGGCTTCTCCCTTTTGCAGGGCGAGGGGAGATTGAGCTCATGTCGATCTCAAACTCCCCCGCTGCTGAGGCCAAGGCGAACTTCCTGAGAGTAAGACATTATAAAAAAGGTTTAGTTTATTTTATCTATAATATAGAGCACATTTGGATGGTGGGAGGAAACCGGGGAACCTGGGGGAAACCCAAGCGGACACGAGGAGAACTGAGATGCAAACTCCGCACAGAAATACCAGATGGCTCAGCGAGGACCCGACGCCATTGGTATTCTTGCTGTGAGGCAACAGTGCTAGTCACTGAGCCACCGTGCCGCCCATTCTGGATAAAGGAGGAAGAAGGGGAGGAGGGGGGTTTCTTCCAGACGAAGATAGTTGTAGAAAGGAAATGAGGATATATATAGTGACTTTGGATCCTCTGATTGGAGGATCATGATTAGCTAATGTGGACCAGCTGGGTCAATCATGAGCACATGCTCCTCTCGAAATTAATTTAAAATTAAACTTCACTTAATAACTCATCTCTAATAGCTGATTTATTTTATCTTTGCCTTTATGACAGCAAATCTTATTTGACTACATATTTTCAAGATATACAGTATACAGCTTAAAGTGACATTTGAAGGCTTAACTAGGTTAATTAGGTTAAAGTTAGGGATAATTAGGCAAGTGATTGTATAATGGTGGTTTGTTCTGTAAACAATTTTTAAAAAGTTGCGTAAAGGGGTTAATAATATTGACCTTAAATGTTTTTAATTACATGTTAATTAAAATGTTCTTAAATGTTTAATTACAAACTGCTTTTATTCTATCCAAAATAAAACAAGACTTTCTCCAGAAGAAATTATATTATAGGAGATACTGTGAAAAATTCCTGCATCCGTTCATCATTTGGGAAATATTTAAAAAAGGAAAAAAACTTCAGAGGAGGGTAAATGATTTTGACTTTAATTGTACATAATAAGAGTTTTTTTCCTGCTAGGTCAGATGAGGAGTAAACAGAAAACAAAGGATCTTCCCGCTCCCAGATCTGCTGGCTGTATTCAGATCAGCTTCACTCCACGAGTGTTTCCCACCGCGCTCAGAGAGTCTCGCGTCCCCGAGGAGGAGGAGGTCAGATCTATATTAAACAGACATTATTCTGGTCCGGGTGCTGATGATAACCACTGCAAACATCTTGTTAGTGTGTGTGTGTGTGTGTGTCTGTCTGTTTACGTGTGTACCTATGTGCGTATGAGTGTATGTTTATGTGTACCTGTGCGAATTATACATTGACTATCGGGGGGGGGGGTCAACTTTTTCGGTAACGTTAATGTTAGTTTGTATAACACATGCTTCAGCTTATCACATGTATGCATATTTGTTTAAATGGCATTTATTTTATTAATAAAACATATCTAGGTCTTCAGTGTGGGATATTTAGCGTATTCTGACCTACCTCCGACTAGCTGTTTCAGTGGGTAATGTAGGTCAAACTATACCAACTATGCAGCTAATTCGATTTTACTTTTAGGCTATGTGTAGATACAAACACCTATTTTACTAGGAAATGTCTATCAATGCTCCAGATCTGCCGCTTTCAGACTGTTGAATGACCTTTCTCTCTCATAGACTGACTGGCGCAATCATGCATTTACAATGGTATGCGCCATTATAGGGGTGGACAGATGCATATTTATATCATCTGCTATTTTAATTATTAATGTTATTATTTACGTTACAGATCAGAGCAATAATTGGAATTAATTAGGGGGGTCAATCCCCCCAACCCCCCCTGTCATTTGCACCCAGCCTGTGAGTGTATGTCTGTGTTTGTGCATGTGTTTATGACATAATATAAGGACACAAACTTGAATAATGACATGGTTATAGGCAGAAGGTGTCTTATGAGGACATCTCCCATATTCCCATTTTTTTAAAAGGCTTATAAATCATGCAGAATAATTTTTTTCATGAAGTCAGAATGCACACAATTTTCTGTGAGGGTAAGGTTGGGGTGGAGCAATAGAAAACAGATTGTACAATGTAAAAACCATTATGCCTATGCTTAAACAGTGGTTGAAGAAGCAGGCGGAGGCCAGGAGAGCAATAGACACAGATCTGGCAGAACTGGACGACCTGACAGAGGACGAGAGAAACCCAGACTGGCTGAAAGACAAGGGAGAGTCAGTGTCTTCATGCTGTTTTTCTCTCTTTTGTCTGACTTTTTGCAGTGTGTTGCTGATCAAAGCTTTAGGTCTGTTTTTAATTTTTTTCATAGCTGCATTTATTTGGTAGAAACAGTAAAAATGCAAAACCTTTCAATAATATTTCATTCAAAACAATAACTGCTTTAATATAGTGTGAAATGTAATTTATTACTGTGATTCTATGCTGAATTTTCAGCATCATATCACCAGTCTTCAGTGTCACACGATCCTTCTGAAATCATTATAATATGAAGATTTAACTGTCAAGACACATTTTTCAAATATAACCAATGAATATTAATACATATATTTGATGAATATATGGAGTTATAAAATACTGTTATTACCTATTTATTTGAAATGTTTTATATTCCTTAATGCATCCTTGCTGAAAAAAAATTATAATCTAAAGAGTTTAGATGCCAAAACCTCAAAGTGCCGTCGGGGATTTTCATCTAAAATGAGCATTTTACAATGTTGTGTGTAGTTTCAGTAATTTTCATCGCCCTTAAAGTGAAATAACTGAACATAAACATAAAAACGCTAATTTTAGAGGAACATTTCAGACGGCACTTAAAGGTTTTAATCTGAATTCTTCCTATACATTAATTCAATTCATTTCATCTTTATTTCTGTAGCACTTTTACAATGTAGATTGTGTCAAAGCAGCTTATATAGAAGTTCTAGTAAATGTAAACAGTCAGTCCAGTTTTCAGAGTTGAAGCTTAGTTTAGGTCAGTTCAGTGTGGTTTAATATTTACTGCTGAAAGTTCAAACACTGAAGAGTAATTCATCGATGCTCAGCTCTACAAGTCTCAATCTGAGCAAGCCAGTGGTGACAGTGGAGGAACAAACTTCACCAATTGCAAAAGTGGTGAATGGGCAAAAAATGTATATATATATTTTTTACATTAAAATATTTTTTCAAAGTCGATATTATATATGAGCAATATCACACGAGTAGCAGTGCGATATGGCTGTATATCGGCACTGGTGGGAGGCGTGCGTTGGCACAATATACAGCCATATCACACTGCTACGAGTGTGATATTGCGTTTATACGACAGTTTGACAGCATAATTGTGTATATAAAAACAAAATCAAACATGGAGAGTCTCAAAAACCCTTTTGTATGAGGAACTACTTTCTTCCGCCTTGGATTCAAATCATAAGCTGACAGTTAAACAGTTGAGCGTGCATCTTTTAAACTTTAGATCTGTAGTGTCTGCTTTTTGCTGGCTGTATGTGGGCGGAGTAATACACAAAGGGTAAAGAGGCTGTACAGGGGCTGATATTACTTAAATATATCACAGCTATCAGCCAATCAGATTCGAGAACCAGACAGAACTGTTGTATGAAATTAAATATTATAATCTTATTCATATATTTCTTATATATAAGAGTCTTATCATATTAATAAATAATTAATATAGTCTTATGTAGTATAGTAACTTATATAGTTCTTTATATTATTAAATAAGTAGAACTTGCACTTTTTCCTACAAGTAAAGTAAATATTAGCCATGTATCAAAACACTGAGGCCCAGTTTCACAAACAGCGCTTAGATTAAGCCAGGACTAGGCCTTAGAGAAATTAGGCTATTTAAGCCACATTTATAAAATGGCCTTTGAAAATATATTACTGGTGTGCACCTGGAGACAAAAAAATGACACTGACGTATTTTAAGACATCTCACTGCAAGTTATTTTGAGTTGAGACAGCTTTTAAACCTTGACTAGCCTTAAATCTTGTTTGTGAAACCGGGGGTGAATGTTTTACTGTTATTTAATTTATTTTGTGTATATGCTTCCATCACTATAAGATTGCATTAAATCTCATCATCATCTGGTTTGTCTTTTTTCCTGCAGTAAATTGTTCATGGCAGGAAACTTTCTGGCTGCTGTCAACGCTTATAATCTGGCCATAAAACTCAACAGGAAGATGCCGGCTTTATTTTCTAATCGAGCGGCTTGTCACCTCAAACTGAGAAATCTCCACAAGGCCATTGAGGACAGCTCTCAGGTCAGTTCTTTTGGGTATACGTTATGTTTTCATGATAATGTGCTATATGCATATCAGCTAGTGTTTTTCAGCCAGTGATAAACATCCAGAGAAAGCTTCATTTGACTATTTTCAATTTCAGGAGTTTGCTTTAAATACAATTTGTATTGTAATTTAAATACAATCAATTAAATAGACTTCAGCATTCATTTAGTTGATCAAGAGTAAAGCGAGATAGAAGACGCAAGCACCATCAGTAGCAGCAGACGAGCAAAGAAACTCCATTGAAAATACTGGGGTAAAATAAATTGGCATATTTTAAAGACATGGCATGGTAAAATAGAACTTAATGCAGTGCTTCTTGTCCAATAACTTTATATCGTATATCAATCAGGCAGTAAAGATCATTGATTTTTAAAGAAATCAGATCTTAAATGTGGGGATTTTGTAATGGTGCAATAGTTTACTGGAAGCACTTCGACTGGCTGGCTGAAAATTAAAAGTCATATACCACATTGGCTGGTCTTTTTTTATCTACTGTGTTGAGCTTTTTTCTATGCTTATGTAACCCCGCCGGTCCTACACCACCAACCTGCCCCGAGCTAGGATCGAACCGGCGAGGTGGCGACCTTCCGCATGGGAGTTGAGTGCTCTAACAAGGAGGCTAAAGACCATGGCCTCTAGCGTCTGTCGCTAGAGCACCTTTAGAGGTCAGAGGAGTGAGGTTTACCTGCACAGCACCTACTGGCTGGCCTCTGTTAAACTCACCCCCCTAAACCTCACTCCCATCCGGGTCACAGCACCAAGATAACCCCGTCGGTCCTACACCACCCAACCCGCCCCGAACTGGGTTCGAATCAGCGTCCTTCCGCATGGGAGTCGGGTGCTCTAACAAGGAGGCTAAAGACCGTGGCCTCTAGCGTTTGTCACTAGAGCACCTTTAGAGGTCAGAGGAGTGAGGTTTAGCTAGAGTGAGGATAGCTGGCCTCCGTTACACTTACGAGCGGGCCCAGCCATTGCAATCTTTTTAGCTCAAAACTTCCGGTCTCATTCACTTACATTGATTTGTAGATGTTAAAAACTACTTGTGATCCTGCTTGATGCTACAAGCTGACATTTTCTTATCATGTTATTCTCCTTTTTTATGTAGTGTAAAATGTGCGGGTCCTTTAAGGGGTGGGGCTGCAGTTTGGTGTGTAAACGGATAGGGAGAGCCAGAAAAGAGGAGCAGTTTTTCGCAATGAGACTGCTTTTACTGATGTTCGCTCTTTAGTGACTGATTTTGTTGTACCACATGGATAGTAATCAATAATTGGACCATGTTATATGTAAGGGAGTTAACCCCAAAACTAATATTTATATAATAGCAAACAAACAAAACAAAGCACAAAGGCAGAACATTTCATAGGTAAGATTAAGTTTTTTACGTTTTTGTATGTTCTGAACTTTTGTGCTAATCAGGTAACGTTATTGATGATAATACAGTCACTACTGCATTCACCATAAGGCAAAGCAGAAGCAACTCACATTAAACACTCGGCTTATGCTAGTTTTGTTGAATAAAATCAGCAAACAATGCAAAAGAAATATGACAACGAGATGCTGCGCTGCCAGAAACTTGTATTATTGTCAGCTAAGTGAAGAAGTCGTTCATAACGGAGATTCATTCACAAGGGAATCGCTCCCTCCGTCAGTATGAGCAGTGAAAGCAGGAGAGGAGCTGTGTTTCAGGACATGATTAGATCAAATTTAACAGGGAGGGTGGATAGTACATTTCCGAACACACAAACACAAGCTTTCAGTCAGGAATGCCCGTGCGGTCACTGATCCATCAATGTAGAAAATGTAAAATTATAATATTTTCGTAATTAAAAAAAAAAAATTGTATACTGACCTCTGGGATCATAGATATATGATCCAGATCATAGATACATGTGTATATGTGTATATCTCTGGCTTTGGATGGGCACAGCACAGTCCTTCACTGCAGCTTGGTCCCGCATTCATTTCAAAGGAGCGCTACCCTGTACTAAAATGGTGGCTCTATTGACGCATTCCTTCCAATAGACAACAACCAGCTAGGTGACATCTAATGTATATATCTATGTCTCTAACACAGCAAGGGAACAGAGCAGGAAAGGTTAACAATATTCCTGAACACCATTTTCTGCTCTTTATTATTCCTAGTTATTTCTCCCATAGGCAATTGATTCAGAAGTTTTGAAACAATCGAAAAAATCAAATCAAGTAAAAAAAAACAAGTGCATTTCCGCATTGTAGAATGAGGTCAACAAATGAACACCCTTTTTCCACAGGCGCTTGAGTTGCTGACGCCTGCGGTCTCTGCGAACGCTTCAGCTCGACTGAAGGCTCATGTGAGGCGGGGAACAGCCTTCTGTCAGCTCCAGCTCTATGTGGAAGGTTCTAGATCATTTACTGTCACTTTCAGCTCTCATGTAAAACACATCAACCGCTGTAGTCATGAAATACACACGATTATTTCTCATTTATTGTTTCAAAATGTAATTCACTTCAGGATTAGAAATGCAATTGTCAGTTGATTTCTAAATGACTCAAAACTCTTGCTTTGCTAGACCACAGTAACTTCCTGGAATACAGGAAGGGGTTTATATGATCTGTTGAATGTTTTATTTTATATCTTTCATCCTTTAGGTCTTCAAGACTATCAGAAGGCTCTAGAAATAGACCCACACAATGCAGCACTGCGAGCCGATACCGAGCAGATCCGTGAGCTCATACAGGGATCCACTCCACGATCTAAAGATGAAAACTAGCATCAAGGTTACAACCTACACGTTAACTGTGTATTCATAATGACACCGCATCCTGTTAAGAAAACACACATGAAGACTGATAGTATTCGTCTTATAAATAAAGCATTGGCTTTATTTATTTATTTATTTATTCAGTATTCATTATTGCAGCTTTTCATAAATCATGCACAGTATTGAACACACATCATCTGTTGTACATAACTGCAATTATTGAGTTGATGATACTCTGTTCACTCCAGGGGTGTAGACATTTAAAAATTGAGGGGGACAGCTGTATAAAATCCAAAGGTTTACATTCTTAATCACCTGTTTCTAAATGGTCTGTCTCTAAAGGGATGTATCCCCCCGTTCCCCCCGGTTGCTACGCCCCTGGTTCACTCTATGTCTAATTTTCTAGGGCTGCCATCCGCTTTGTACATCTTTGTTATAATCTGGTTTATAAACCATTTGTCGTTGTCGTCCAGATCCTCAGGTTCAGAAAGTGCAGGACACAGAATCTTCCGATTATTGAAATCCATTTTCCGCTTTCTAGAAATCACGATCAAAATGGCCCGTTTATCAACATGCTTAAAAGAACCGGCCGCAGCTGGAGGAAGAAGCGATGTTGATGTTGAATCCATAATCATTCCATGTATCGTTGCCCAAGTAGCTTAGGAGATGCCGTATAATCGTTCTTAAAGGATCGTTTTCTAGAAATAGCTTGTATGCATGATCCCACCACTGGTTATTTACTTCCTCGTTTATGTTTTGCCAAGACATCTGTGAAAAATGAGAAATCAAGAGCTTGTTTAGTCATTAGTTTGATGTCAGACTCAGACTCTAAAAAAAAAAAGAACAAAAACCCACTGTTGGATCCAAAAGTTATTCGAAGAGAGACCGATTATCTGCAACGCAAGTTCTGTGAACGGAGCTGAAATTAGAAACAGAAAGACAGTTGTGTGAAAAGAACTAAGTTGTGTAGAAATCAACAGCCACTCCTTGAAGACCTTCTTCACCCCTCAGAAATTTGCTGTTTCTACCGTTTTCAAAAGTAGCCTTAGCTTTTGTAATATGGATCAATTAGGCACAAATGTATTGCTTATGATGACCATTTTAAAAGTTCTGTTCAGACTAGTCGGTGGTCTAGTAACGTTGTTAATCTGACATCTGAGAACAGGACATAAAAAGAGACTGTTCTGGTGGTCAGTTTGCATCGGTGTGACTTTATAAGGCTACTACTAAATACACAAATAGATTAAAATATAGAGTAAATACTTTTTACTTCTAGGTGAAGGTTCAGAATGTATAGTTGTGAATGTGTAAGCCTATCATAAGAGATTTGTTACACTTCATGCATAAATAGAATAATTTATTTTTTAAATTAAGAAACTTACTATAGTATGCACTTTCCTGTGACCTCCAGATCGAAGTCCTGTGACTGCCAACCGAGATGAAAGGAACGAAAATGTGTCGGTTATATAGAGACGTATGGCGAAATGAAAAAGCCACGCCTTTGATGTGGAGAAGAGCAAAATGTCTCCTAGTAAAACCGCAAATTTCCTGTTCCTATAGTGCATGTTTAGATTAGATTAGATTAGATTCAACTTTATTGTCATTACACATGTACAAGTACAATGCAACGAAATGCAGTTGAGGTCTAACCAGCAGTGCAATAGCAGCAAGTGCAGGATACAGGAATAAGTTATAAAGTGCAGTTATAGAAAACTATGGTGATATTTACAGATGGATGTACTATGAACATTATATACAGGTTGGATAAGCTATGAGCAGATTTACAATATATGAATATGTGTGCAGGTTGATATTAATAAACAGTAGTGTTCAGATAGATAAACATGATAACAAGTGTATATGTTACAGTATATGAATATATGTACAGGGATAGATAAACATGATTACAAGTGTATATGTTACAATATATGAATATATGTACAGGTTGCTATTAATAGTCAGTAGTATGCTGATAAATAAGCATGATTACAAGTGTATATGTATAGTGGGTGTGTACATAATTACAAATGCCCATATGCAGTGGGTACGTACAGTTCAATAAGTAAGTTTACTATTGTTCTGAAAGTTTTAATACTTTTTAAATGATGTTTTCATAAATTTCATGTTTCATATGGTTTTAACGCATGCATCAGAAATAGGGGGGACATGTGTCAGTTATAACACTTCCAATCTCTTCTTCCACTTCCAAACCAGGAACTAGGGGGCTTACAGTATGCATGGAAAGTTTTGTTGAGCTGCTCTCTGATAACATTGAATTACGAATATAATGCCATCTTTTATGTCTTTAATTTAGTTAAGAACCATCAGTCTTATCTTGGATCTATTTCTAATAGTTGGAAGTAGGATATCATTTATTTGCGTTGGTAACTACAATCAGAAAGTAGATACAAATCAGTGGATTCTCTTCACACATGCTCATATTAGTCCTCATTCTACACCCAGAAAAATGTAGTCCTGTGACACACAGCAGATGTTAGATGGATAAATCTAAAAAATAAAATCTACATTTGTAATTTTTTTAACTTAGGATATTTTTGGGATAGCAATGCCTGATTTGTAGTAAAACCAATCAATGTTAAATTATGTAATTTGTTTGTGTCTGTGTAAATATTTTGAATGCATGTTGTTGATCATAATGTTTTAGCTGTTGGCTGTGAGGAGAGCAAATCAGCTGTAACAACAAAACACTTGGTTAGAAAGAGGGTGCGAATTACAGCGGGGTCTGGGGGGGGGGGACGTCAAAACAATATGTATAGGGGGGTCAACCCTCTAAATAGTGAGAAATAGCTCTGACCTACTTTTTAAACATTAATATTACAAATTAAAATAATAGATAATATAAATATACATTTAACCACCCCTATAATGGATTATACCACTATAAATGCATAATTGCACCAATCAATCTACGCCGATAGACATGGTGAGTGTAAAATAGGTGTTTGTTTCAACATTTAGGCTAAAAGTAAAGTCAAATTAGCTGCATAGTTTGTATAGTTTGACCTATGTAACCTCTGAAATGGCTAATCAGAGGATACTGTTGGTCAGAATACACAAAATATTCCACAAAACACTGAAAACTTAAATGTTTAATTAATAAAACAGATGTCATTTAAATAAATACATTTGATTGACTGTGTTGTACAAAATAACATTATTGAAAAAGTTGACCCCCCTGATCGTCAATGTCTAATTCGCACCATGGTTAGAAACATCAGTGAAATGTTACGACCAAATCCTCAGCATATTTAAAAATATAAAAATATCTATTTAAAAATCTAAATAACGTTACATCGCACCCCAGGGTGTGTTAAAACGGCACCTATTATGCTTTTATTAAAGCAAAAGTTACCAAAAAAGCACAATTTGGATCAAAGCCTATAAAAGGGCGGTTCGAAAGAGTTATAAAACATTATTTGTGTGGGATTTTCACTTGAAACTTCACATACACACCCACACACACATCAGGGACATCATGTACTTATTTTACATCTTGTAAAAAGGGACATAGTAGGCACGCTTTAAAACTATATTGTACGATTTCGCTTCTCATGTTTGACATGTTTTCATTCCTTCTAAATATTCTGAATAATTCTATTTATAAATGACTAAAACTTCAATATTCGAGTGTGAAAGAAGAAAACCAGTTTGACGATACACTCACCGGCCACTTTATTAGGTACACCTGTCCAACTGCTCGTTAAAGCAAATTTCTAATCAGCCAATCACATGGCAGCAACTCAATGCATTTATGCATGTAGACATGGTCAAGATGATCTGCTGCAGTTTAAACTGAGCATCAGAATGGGGAAGAAAGGGGATTTAAGAGACTTTAAACGTGACATGGTTGTTGATGCTAGACGGGCTGCTCTGAGTATTTCTGAAACTGCTGATCTACTGGGATTTTCATGCACAACCATCTCTAGGGTTTCCAGAGAATGGTCAGATGAAGAGGAAATATCCAGTGAGCGGCAGTTCTGGGCGCAAATGCCTTGTTGAGGTCAGAAGAGAATGGCCAGACTGGCTCCAGCTGATAGAAAGGCAACAGCACTCGTTACAACGGAGGTCTGCAGAAGAGCATCTCTGAACACACAACACGTCCAACCTTGATGCAGATGGGCTACAGCAGCAGAAGACCACACCGGGTGCCGCTCCTGTCAGCTAAGAACAGGAAACTGAGGCTACAATTCACACAGACTCACCAAAACTGGACAATAGAAGATTGGAGAAACGTTGCCTGCTCTGATGAGTCTCCATTTCTGCTGCCACGTTTGGACGGTCAGGTCAACAACATGGTTGGCATCAACAACATGGAAGCCTGGATCCATCCTGCCTTGTATCAGCAGACTGGTGGTGGTGGTGTAATTGTGTGGGGGATATTTTCTTGGCATACTTTGGATTAGAGTATTGTTGCTGACCATGTCCAATCCTCTATGACCAGTGTACCCATCTTCTGATGGTTACTTCCAGCAGGATAACGCACCATGTCATAAAGCCTGAATCATCTCAGACTGGTGTCTTAAACATGACAAAGAGTTCACTGTACTCAAATGGCCTCCGCAGTCACCAGATCTCAATCCAATAGAGCACCTTTGGGATGTGGTGGAACGGGAGATTCACATCATAGATGTGCAGCCGACAAATCTGCAGCAACAGTGTGATGTTATCATGTCAATATGGAGGAAAATCTCAGAGGAATATTTCCAGTATCTTGTTGAATCTATGACATGAAGGATTAAGGCAGTTCTGAAGGCAAAAGGTGGTCCAACTATTAGGTGTACCTAATGTAGTGGCCGGTAAGTGTACATGTTCACCACTAGATGGTAATATTGGACAAGCCATAGTACAATTGCATCATTTAATTTACGACATTACTATAATGTGGGAATAATTTCAGATATGATTTGTCTCTAAATGAATGAAAAGGATGACTAAACAGTTCATGTTAAATACAGTATTGCTTTTGCATGGCTGATTAATGACTAATCAACATAAAACTAGTCAAAAATAATGCAGTTTAAGTAAAAATATTTTTTTTTAAAAACAGTTTTTTTATTTATATTTTTTATTCTAATATAAATACATTGGGTTTAAAAGAAATCCGCTAATTTCTGGGCCAGTATGTGGTAATAATTTGTACGGTAAAAATTACAAGTTGTAGCTCTTCCCAACAATCAAGAATTACTCGCTGCCAAGGCTTTGCAATCAAAAAACGTGATTATAATGGGACAAAAACAGCCATCAACATAACGAAAGGGCAGAAAATTTACCTACAGTGTATTGTTGAGCGTTTGACAATTTTCAAAGCATTTTCCCAAAATATGTGCATGTCAAAATAAGATTTGCCACCAAACATCATTCCAGTTGCTGAAACAGAGAAAGAAGTGGACCAATTAAGAGTGAATGAAAACAACCAACAGCATACAAGAGTTAATTAATTAGTTTTTCCCAGTGTAGATATACTCAAATGAGCCCTGCAGGTGTGTTTTGGTCACTGTCCTTTAAACAGAGCTTTGTAATTGGGGATGTAGAGATGACTGTGGTCAAGGCTGGTGTTAAATGAGTTGTCCTGGAACATCCCGCACAGTCCCAGGTGCTGCGAGAAGGTCTGGGAGATGGGGTGATAGGAACAGGGTGAGGATTCCAGCGTCGCGGGTCGAGCGCCGTAATCACTGGATGTAGTTTTAAACATCAGGCTGTGAGGTCTGGACAGTGCTGGATC